CAGATTGCTCAGAGTGTACATCCTGCACAAGTTGCTGTGAGAATCCTTGCATAGACTGCAACAACTGCTATAACTGGTGCTCTGCTCCTTCTGCATGTTCTCCAGGACCTTTGTGCGACTGTAGTAGTTGCACTTGCAGTTGCACAACACCCGAGTGCTCCACAATAAATTGTCTTTGTTGTGAGATAACTATTAAAGGTCGTGGACCACAGGGTGACACTTAATATAGTCTTGTGAAACTGAGAAATTTAATGATTTTTTAACTGTAGTTTTAAAATTCCTCAACTTCTGATGCTGTATTTTTTTGGATTTAGTTTTATATGAATTTATTTTTATACTTCCAGTGTGCTGTTTTGATAATTTTGACTTGTAAGTTTTTTTTTTTTTTCTTTCAGTCTTTTTATCAGAATAAGTTAATTCTTAAGTTTGTGACAAATGGAAATTTTCCCTGCAATATACTTTTGTATGTTTTGTATCTACTAGTCATTATTTTAGTGGTTATTATGAAGATAATTTCATAGTAATTCTTGTATATGAGAGGAAGTATTGCTGAAACAAACATATCAGTGTACCTGCTATTCCATCCAGTATGTAAATACCTTGAGTTTGCTATTTTTGTAAGAGTACAAATTTAGATTTAATTTTTGAGATTTTTTGTGTGAATTACATTATTAATTGATTTAAGTAGTGAAAGCTTACTGTGTACTAACCTGCTAATACCTCAATGGTTAATGGTTAAAATAAATGTGCTAGACATCTAAGGTCATATAGCACTATAGGAAGGTACAATAAAGGGTAGTGAAGGGTTAGTAGTCAGTTGCTATGCATCAACTGTCAAGAGTAATATTACAAAGGTTAAAGATGGGTAAAGGAGTTGAGTGAATGGGTTACGGTGGGGTTATGTAGATCAGGTGAAGGATATGTATGCGTCTGCGGGAGAACAGGTTGTCAAAGCAGAGGAGGATGTGTAAGAAAAGTCTCTTGGAGGCAGATAATGAATGGGTTATAAGAAGAAAGGATATGACGAGGGTCAGGTCTGTGATAAGGGGGTGAGATAAGGAATTAGAGGGGGGAGATTGTGTAGTATCAGGAGGGGTATCAGTAGGTGGAGGCTCTGGGGAAGGGCATAGTTGTGACATGAGAGATCCACGTGTGTATCCTGGAGGGAGTGAAAGGAATAGAGGGGATGGAGGGAAGGTTAATGTGGGTATAGTTGGGGGTGGGAGGAATATGAAGAGGAGGCTGGATATTGGCAGTCACTTTCAGTGTGGAGGGTATGGGAATTGTGGAATTTGAGGGTGGATGAGGGTTTTCTTTGTCATTCTGGGATTCAAGCAGATAGTTTTGAATATCTTCTAGTTTCTGAAACAGAATTGGTTGGGGAGTTTTGTAGGACAGAGGTTTTCCTATAAGGAGTAGAGTCAAACTTCGGGGTGGGGCAGCCCCTATAAAATACATACGAGTCACCGCAGTTAACACATATGAGTGACTGTGCAGAGCAGTTTACGGTTATGACCAGGTTGGGTACATAGAGGGCATTGGGCTGTGGAACGGCAGTGTTTGGGAGGATGTCCTAATGGGTAATGGTTAAAGGTTAAAAGTGAAATAAATGTGCTACTCATCTAAGGTCATATAGCACTATAGGAAGGTATAGTAAAAGGTGGTGACAGGTGATAGTTGCTATGCGTCAACCATCTAGAGGATGTCCTAAACGCCAAGTTTTGACGTCTGACCTCTGTGTTGAATAAAGGATTTGCCTTTTCCTTTAATTAACTTATTATCCTTTCTCTGAATCTCTTCTTTCATTTCCCTCTTACTTTTTTCTTTCCATGCTTCTATGTCAGACTCCAGTTATTAGTCATCTCAATTGTTAGGTGAATAAAAGACTAATAGAAAAAATAGGAAACTGTATTATTCAAAGATATGCTTCAGTAAACATTGTATCCAAATTTCATAAGAAATATTCTGAAGCCATTTAAAAAGGAAACAAACTACAGAATTCTTCAATCTTATTCTACTTTTGGGTTTTCACTGTGTTACCATTTTCCTCATGATTAAAAATGACTTAAATTAAGTGATTCCTTTGACAATGATCAGAATCTTATGGCCTAAAAAGAGAAAAAAGAAAACTTTCAGTCAGTTCTGTACAACTTCCTGTGGATAGTAATTTATGAAGATACAAAACATTTCTTAGCCATAGCATGCTTCAAAGATTTGAAACTGAGAAGAGTTTGAACATAATGGACTGCAAAAATGTAATACAAAATCTTATGACAAAAGAAATAACCAATGATGAAAGTAAGGCACATGCCATATAATATACCAATTTTACATCTGGTTAAGATATAAGTCAGGAACACATATTACCTAGGATCCTAAGATTTAAGAGCATATCACACACTTAAAGCTAGAAAATTGTTCAGAAAATCGGTTTTAAAAGAAATGCTCTCTATTTTATCTGTTGAGGCAACATTGAAACCCTTATACAAGAAGCTTAAAAACAACATAAAAGCACTGCAATGTTTACATTCATTTAATTCCAGCACTCTCTTCTACCTTATGCTTTAAAAACATTGCATCTTTGAATGTCACATTTTCAGATTTTTTAAAATGTAGTTCCAAGATTCAGAGTAATTTCTGTTGAATAAGTTCCACAAACTTTTTGGGGGGGCCTTAAATTTCATACATACAGTAAGATCACAACTCTTGATATGGAGAAAAATATAAAGCATGACAAAACAGCAATACAAATACATCACAACCTTACTGATACAAAAATACATATTTAATCCACTTTATTATATAACTTTATAATGTTAGTCTGTTCCATAATGCAGAAATAATTCATTCATGAAATATTACTCTGCTTACCATCACTTCATATGAAATCTATTTACCAAGCTAAGACTCAATATAGCTGTATTAACAGCTACAATCTCTTAGATATTCATTATAACTCTGATGTAAAAATAACATGAAAATAGTCATTCATAAACGAGACGAAAAAATATCTCATTTGTATAAAAGTAACATCTTGTCATGGATATTATATAAAAAATATGTCTTCCCAAATCCTCTGCCTAAACCATTTGAGGGAAATTAATCCTAAATAAGGCATCTATAACCCTAACAGGATTATTCATCACATCAGACAATCCCATCACTGCTTCATACATTAAGTACATGAAAATAATTAACAATATAATTTTGTTATGTGATTCATGTTTTTTCTCAACTCCATCATAGAACATATAAAATGGGGGCATTGCTTTGGTCAATTTACAAATACTTCTTAATGCTCTAATTGTAACAATCAAGTCAAAGCCAAAGTTGATGTAGATTCAGAAATCTGAAACAAGTGGAACTGGAACCTCAACTTTAAAATAAAATACGATTGAGTACTAGGCTTACAAACCTTACTTGTCATTTTGGGCGAAATACTTTCAATAAACAATGTCTCTACATCTACAAAATAAGTGAATATATATTTGCTTTACATAGAACAGCTAATTACCTAAAAATGAGTTCTCCATCACAAATGCCATAATTTGTAATTTTCACAATAACAAAAGTCATTTTCCTAAGCCCATTTACAATGCATATCTAAAAGCCTCTAAAATTGAAGTTGACCTGGCTTTAATAAACAGAACACTAAACAATTTAGGCAATTGTATACAAACTTTGAGTACTTGCGTCTTGGAAAATTAAGAGCCAAGCACCACTTTTAAGTGCATGAGAGCTCACTTACTTGATCCTTTTTTTCTCTCTGCCAACTTCTAAGGCCACTAGCACTAACTCAACAAAAATCATCCTTTTCTGTCAATATTAGGATAAAATAAGGGGAAATCTTACTCCCATGTGCAAAGATGGTTAGAAAAAAAATCTGCCTCCCTGTATGAAAGCAAAATATTGATTATATAAATAAACTGTTGATCCCCTATTAAATATTCATTTACAAAACTCAGGCCCATCATGAAATGAAATCTCAATCCTTTTACTTGACATCTAACCCAAAGTATTGACATGAAATACATCATTACCTAGAATGGCAGATGATATTTCTTATCACATAATAGTAAAATATGGATGATCCATTGTCTTTAGTATTCTGCTCTAGGAATTTATAATCACACTTCACCAAGCTGTTGCTTCTAGTTAATATAGAGGCAAGAAAAATAAAGAGATTAATGTATAAATCCTACTCCAGATATATAAAGCTTTATTTCATATTCTTTCATAAGTAACATCTCTCCTTCCGCAGTACAGCAGGAAGAAGAATCCATCCTGAAAGGAAATAAATAATGATTACTATCAAAACCATTAACCTTTATCAGTTGAATATTACTAATGACAACCATATAAATAAATGAAATTCATTTTTATCAGAATATAAATGCCAATGAGGCAATGGCAGACAAAACAGACCAAAACCTTAACATCCCTAATGCTTAGAAAAGACATGGAGTTCATCAGACTGCCACTACCATACTATCACCACTTAACAACACCAACACAAGTGCTCAGCCTCCAAGGAGTCAATTAATAGGCCCTGGTGACTGTGCCTGGTTTCCTAATTCCTTGAACTTGTCAGAAAATGGGTCATTTCTAAACCTTTGGACCTAGGGTGCTTTGCAACCCACCAAAAATCTGTCTATTATCCAAGTTCTATATTTGTCATTTGACTGACATGCTGTGTCAAGATAATAATTTAATGTTTTCCTTGCACAGACACCATATCATCTCTCTAGGTAGTCTACAATCTAGTGCAATAACCAAAAGTAATGTAGTGTTATTTGTATCTTTCTTTATATTTCTTGTATTATTCAATTTTCTGTAACACCCTGCACTGCCTGCTGCAGTAAGCAAGAACAGGATTCTGAGCTTGGAAACAGTGTCCTACCTAGAGCCAGCGCTCTTCTAGCCAACTGAACAACTGTGATTACATTCACAAATCACATCACATTTACCATCACATAACACTAAGATCTGCACAAACTAACAAAAAATCAAAAACAACTACAAGCCACCAAGATCATAACTCTGCAAAATAAAAACATCATGATCATAACACCTGCATTCCAACAGAGACCACACCAGGATTCCAAGCAAAGTACTCTCTACACCTCTTTGCACTCAACAATTCCCCAGAAATTATCAATGGCAAACACAAAAGCAGTTACATACAAGATGGTACATTTGTATGCCAAGAATACAAAATAGTAGTCACATCTGGGAAGTTGGCTAACACATTCCAATTCTATAACTCAACATATCACAATTAAAGCTGCCTCTTAAACTCATTTCCTTTCTCTACTACCCTGTATATACCACAAAACAAATGCTTAGAGTCACTGCATCATACCTTTCACTCACACCCATATATCTTTAGAATGCATCATTTGAGAGTAACACGTTTCAGAGACCCCACAGAATAAAAACAACACAAAGCACAGATACAGACAAGCCTAAACATACATTGGCACATACAATATACAAAATAAAACAAATACAAAATAAAGCACATACAAAACAAAGGTAGCACAGAAACAACTGCCTACAGAAGACATGAGTAATAACAACTGAACTGACAAATACATATAAAAATATGAATAATCAGTTTAGATAAATGAAAAACTAAATGCATATATATATGCAAACAACACAATAAATGAAACGGTCAATAACAATATTAAAAAAAGAAAATTTAATCAAAAATTAAAGAAGCAATATAAATGTACCTGAACAAGATATGGAAAGTCCATCCAAAAGCTAAGGTGTGGGAGCAACTCAATGCCCCGTGCACCTATAACATATCGACGGTACAGGTATCCCACTGTCAGGTACACGCAAATGAAGATGAGGAGCAATAGCAGGAACAGCGACCCAACAGACATGCCGTGGGGTAGGATAGGAGTCAGACAGCCCCCTATGCATGCACACTTGGATTTCAGGGTCATGTTCTAAGGGGAAAGAAGACAGTTTTTTTTTTTTCAGAATACTTGTAAACTTTGTTTGGGCTGCGTATGTGTTTGTAATATATTAGAAGATTTTGAAAATACTTTAATATTATAAAGGCTATACACATCTTTACCATATAAAAATAGTGCTAACGACCTGTTCTGAAATGTTACATATTCGGAAATGATATCTTAAGTAGGCCTCTGTAGACCTACTTCTTTCTTATTCTAGAATACAAGTAGGGAACCATTTTACATTTTTTTGTATGAATAAATATAATTTATGTAAACATTCAACTTACAAATACACTCCTATGTTGGCCTGTTGTTTCACCAAATACCTCAAGGACGTCATTGTCATTATCAGTGCACTGTAAAATAACATTTGACAACCTGTAATCAAAAGGAAAAAAGCAAATAAATGTAATTAATTTTAATGCTACTGTGATTTATAATACATTCTATTCCATTAATCAGTAAAATGTCTTTCACCAAAAAATATTTATGACCACTGTTAGTACATTTAAAAACCATAAATTAATCATAAATCATCTCATATCTTTGGATACAGGTTTTCATTACTCACCTATCTCCAATGTCATTATAATATGACAGTATCCACTGGTCTGTTGAATTATCAAAATGAAATTTTGCAAGACTCTGTTTCCCAACATTGATAGGACCTGAGGTACTGGACTGACACACCTAAAAACAGAAAATTATAATATCATTTGCAAGGAATCAATAAGTACCAAGTATAAATAAGAGTAAGATTCTGGATTTAAATTCTTCTAATGATGATATTCATTTCACCATAACAAACAAAATTACCAATATAATTCAACATACATCACTCAGAGTCAACTACCAGACCTGCAATATGTAAATTCTTCAATTTGATATCTAATTCTTGTAGAGGTTATCTCTAACGTTTTCCCCTTCAAAAATATTTGTAAAAGCTATTAAGTAAGTGGACTAATCTTGCTTTAGAACATCATTCCAAAGAGTAAGATAAGAAAAAGTATAAAACAACTTACAGCCACATCTTTGCCACATGACATTTCTTGACCATCAGGTGGGAAGACATAACTGTAGCATGGATTATATGAATATAGACTTGTATCCGATTTATTACTAGCAGTCAGTTCCTTAAACCTGAAAGAGACATAATAAGTATTACTATCATTATAAATACTAGATACACAGCTCCATTATTAGTTGCTGCTTTGTTCAATATTTTTACTCTTTTGTGGAAGGAAACAAAACCAGGCATTGCTAGCTAAGACAGCCACACTACTATTTGGATTGCTTCGATTTTAATAACTTTTTGGGGCATTTGGAGCTCTTGATGGGCCCAGATATTAAACTGGGATCACCACTGAAGTCTATTTTATCTTCTTTGTCACTGAATAGTCTTAAGAATAACCCAGAATCAACGCAGCACTGGAAATGCAACATTTTTTACCAGTGTTCCACCTCGAAATGAGCGGGCTGGCCAGCTGTAAATCTGGTGGCTATAAAAGGAAGTGTGAAATCCATGATG